ATATATATATATATGTATGTATTTTAATATCAGTTGTACAAGTTGTTCTTGTGTTCAGTTCAAACATCGGTGCTCTTAAAACTCGCTCCTATCACTCATCACCGAGCTGCTTGAACTGGCAGCGGCGAACAAACCACTGCAGCACCGGGTTGAAAAGTCTTATCTATCCAACCCATTTAGCAAACAAATCCACGGTGGATTCTACGTCCTCCTGCGTGCGGAGTCCAATCATAATAATACTGATCTCATATTTTCCAGACAGACCTACTTTTTGTTTGCTAAACATTTATAAAAGACTTTGGTCTGCTGCGGGAGACGGTGTCAGGACTGCAGATACAGCAGATACAGCCTGAAGACAGTTCAGGTGACACGCAAAGAAATGTGTACTCTGTAGTGTAGACAAACAAATAGTAATGTGCTCCCATCATTTGTGCTCTATTGAGATTGTACAGGAAAATATGGACCACAAGAACACAGGACACAAAATACTCCCTACAAATTAAAGCTGCATTTAATCAATCCCTTTCTAGAATAAATTTTTCAAAAGTAAAAGTACTCATTATACAGCAGAATGGTCCATATTATTGTTATATTATATTCTACAGTATATTGCATTATTGTTACCAATCATTGACTTGTAGGAAGCATTTTGAAGTTGCAAGAAATGGAGCTACCACATACTGTTGGGTACTTTAATCAATGCATGTTCAATGCTCATAGGTTTTGCATGTAAAATCTGAATTAAAGTTATTAAAGCTGATGAATAAATATAGTGGAGTAAAAAGCACAATATCTCCCTCTGAAAAGAAGTGTATACAGTAACATTAAATGTAAATACTGAAGCACAAGTACGTCAAAATTGTTGTAAATATAAGTAATTTGACATTCTTATCCCACCAGACGTCTACTGAAAATCCATATCACTGCAGGCCTTTTTAACACACTGACTCAACAGCTTGTTATCAGGTTGCCTTTATTGGTTCTATGACTCCGCTCTTTCACTCTTTATCTTCCAGATCATTACATGCCCTCTATACGTCACGAGCCAGCCAAGGCTTTATTATTAGAGCTCCCAGTAGAAAGAGATGCCTCCATGTGTACCTGTGCACTTGAAGAGGTTAACAGCATGCGGACGGGCCCGGGGACCCAACACAATGGCACTTACCCTCTAAACTATGCAGCTCTATGCAAGGAACTCCCCTGAGACATTAGCTTTTGGCATAACTCATTAGTCTATTCAATAGAGCGAGCGAACATAATACCCCATTACACAGCGAGGAATCTCCTCAACTCGACAGGAATTCTCGAGCTCGGGAGCCAAACAATAGGACTATGTGCGAGGAACGTCTGGGCGGGGCGGACTGGCCTCCACTTCTGACGTCCAACCAACGCCGACTCTACCTCTGCACGCCCTGTTTTCCAACTAACACTCCCAGCTGTGCCAAAGCATCTCACGAAACCTTCGCCGCGGTTTCGACCGGAGGGGATTAATTACTGTGACTGGACGCTTTTTAGTGTCTGCTTTGAGAGAGAAAGTCAAGACTGGCAACTTGAGAGATTCTCCTCCGTGGTTGGATTTGATTTGTCATCACATCTGGGCGAGATGAGGGTGGGGTGTGGAGGGAAGGAGGGAGGTAACACACTTCTCAGAGAGCTGATTATGGGAATCTGTGCAGGTATCTCTCAGCACTTTGTCCGCCTGTAATCCCACTCTCAGTCCCCGCCCTAACCCAGGCTACTGCCTCCCAACCCTGCACAGCAGCACAACAGATACTGAAAAGCATTACAGGAATATCCCTAAGATATTAAAAAAATGCTTTGCTGACAGACATGAAGGCGAGGATGAGTCATGTGCTCAGTCTTTGCTGGCTTTATTCCACTTTACTGTAGTTAGAAATCAAAGAGAGTGCGGGGGGCCCTTTCACACATTGCACATATGCACATTTGGAGGGAATGTTCTGAATGCAAATAATTATACACTAAGTTTCAGGAACAGTTTGAACTCTGTGTTTTTCATCATCCCTAACTTGGAATGAGCTAATTTTAGATAACAGATTCCATAGATTCTCTAAATATATACAAGTTACATAACAAATGTATACACTTAATGCACGCAGATAATAAATGCCTGGCACTTTAAGTAATTATTAGCATTTTTGTAGCAGTGGCTAGCAGGTGTTAAGCCTTAGAGCATTCCACATGGAGTCGGACATTAATCAATGTCTGACAAGGAAGTAAGGCCAGTGGCTGTGCTATCTAGAAAGTACAGGTTAACCTTAAAACAGCTAAAATAACTTCAACAAGTCAGTTATTTTCAGTCGTGCTCTAGGGATGGCTATGTCAGTCAGTCGGTCCATCACTTTGGTCATGACACATCTCAACAACTACTGGATGGACCGGATGGTTTGTTACACAGAGCCATGTTTGGAAAAGGGCCGGCTCTTCGCAGGTGATTGCATAAACCACAGACGACCTTCCACCATTCAGATCAATGGTCCATATAACATAGTCAAACTCTTACTGAAGCCAGTCGGGAGAAAAAAACAAACACCTTTTCCATCGAGAAAATAATTCAGTGTTGTTGTTTTGCTCTTCTTTTAATGATAAAATACTCCAGTTCTGTTCTGTTTTTGAGCTAACAATCATTTCTCACACACCTAGCGCTAAACTACGCCCATAGCTCGTGCTGTAGCTGCCAGTAGTTCCTTAAAGGACACTGACGGCACTAAACCACTGTGGTTTGGACACAAGTGCATAGCTTGAAGCCTTGGCAAGATGTCCAGCTGCCTCTTCAGATCAATCATGGTCCCCAGAGGATGATTGACATCTCCTTTTACACCACTATGAGGTTGACATTTGTGTTTGGTTTGCTATGACTATTCACGGTCTCCGAAGGATGAATCCTAATGACTTTGGTAACCCTCTGACTTTTCCTCTAATGCCATCATCCAGTTTTTACAAACACACAGTCTAAAATCTCCATATCTACCCAACAGACATTCACAGTTCCCAGATGATGTACCCTAATTTGGTGATCCTTTACTCCAGCACCACCAGTAGGGTGACATTTTTAGTTGTTATTGAAATATCTCGACAACTATTGGATGGATCACCGTTAAATTTGGTGCAAACCTTCATGGTTCCCTCAGGATGAATTGTAATAACCCGACCTTTTCATCTAGCACATCATCAGGTCAAAAATGTGTACATAAATACACCTTCAGAGAGCTGCTAACATGACTGTAGACTCCTTGTTTTCCCAAGGCTTAATTGATACAGATTACAAGGGTTGCAAGGTTATCTTATCCTAGTAACAATGAGCCACTGATAGGAATGTTCCTTTCAGGCTTAAAGATTTTGACCCATATTTTTTTCCACAATGCTATAATTGTCAACAGTGAACATGAATAAACACCATACTATCTGCAAAAACACTGTACCGAGACAAAACAGCAAACAGTCAGATATCAGATATATGATTTGGGTTTCTGAAGATAATTTCAAAGTAAAATACATATAGAAATGGGGACACTCATTAACAGTAGCTTGCATAGTTACACGTGTTGTTAAGAGCGTCTGTGCTCCTGTTTGTTTTGCTCTCCTTGGTCACTGTGTTTGTTTACATTGCTAGGTAGGTGGAAACTTTTATACTGTCATTCTCTTTTTATTCTTTTGCTCGGTCTCTCAACACATGATGAAAACCCCTCCTGAAGGATGCATACAGTAAATGTTGATGGACAATGATGGCAGTGAACCCTTTCCCTTTGTGCGGTAATCACTTCAAAAAACAGATATTTCATCAGCGATCAATGCCATTATCTTTTCACTTGTTAATGCACGTAAAATATAAAAGCCATACATAAGTCTTAAAGTTATTGAAGGTTATTTTAATCGGAGCAGCTCGTCCATTAGCACACAAAGCGTTTCATAACAGACTCTGACAGTCTAAGCCAGCGTTCCTTAAAAATTTTAAAAGTTACTGTGCAGTAAAGAGCTTGGGTCTCCAGCATGTCAGTGACTAGGGAAGAAAGACAAAAGGCCTTGTTTTTTTGCTTGATGGCAAACTAATTTTGAATCTATTCCGAAAAATCAAAGACTGTGGCCATTTTTTTTTCCCCCGTTGCATAACATGTAAATGTTTCACTGAAAGGAAAACTTGAAAATCCACCAGAATTTGACTGATTGTGGGTTGACACAAGTAAAACAACATTTGATAGTGTCACCTTTAATCTAATTTCCAGTAACTATTAAACTAACTGAATTAGTTTAGAGAAAACATTTAGACTAAAATTTAATTATAAAATGTAAAACACTGAGTTGTCTTCAACTAAAACTAGTTTTAAACTATAAAAATGACTAAACTGTGTTTAAAACTAATCAGCATTTTCTGCTTTCTGTCTAAACTAGCTAAAATCAACACTGACATGATACAGTTTACTA